GGGGGGGGGATTTGTCTTCTTTTTTTTTTACTTGCCCGGACAAATTTTTTTTTTTTTACTAAAAAAGGAAATATTTTCAGCTACAAATTATAATATTTTTCATTATATTTCATAATATGTTTCATTAAAAGAACAAATTACTAGTTTCTTAAATACCTTCAATTTAATTCATTTGAATTATGCAAGTCCAGGACAGCTATATGAAATACACACTTTTGCTGGAAAATAATGGCACACAATGCAAACAATTACTGTTTTTTTTAATTACTCATCCAGTATTGTATTATTATTAATGTCAGCCATTTAATTGAATGTCAGCTTGTTAGATAATCTTACCTTGGTGACATTTAAATCAGCAACAACTTGCAACAACTACATTTAATTGAATTTTTAATATTAATACGTTTAAAAAGACATGTATAGAATGTAAGATGTAGTGACTCAATGGCTTTGCCAACTTTTGAATTGCAGTGACAACAAAACGTCAGCTTAATTCAATTCTTACAGCTGAGATCCTTTATACTGCTAACCTGCTGCTCAGCAATGAGCGAGGTCTTCAGGTTCTGCATCTCCTCGTTCTTTGTGCGTTCCAGGAGCTCTAGTTGGGCCAGGAGCGATGCCCTTTCCTCGGTCCACTGGCCACTGTCCAGTGACAATGCAGTGCTGGTCTCCAAACCAGTCTCTGTCTTTTCTACAGTAGCTGCCACTCTGCAACACAGCAGCAGGTGTGAAAATAGACTCCACCATACTGTAAATCAACCTGACTTTGCATTAATTACTACTAAGAAGACATTTAGCTGACGCTTCCTTCTAAAACAAAGTACACAATGCTAATTCATAAACAGAGGAAGTTATTACATTCTGAAGATCCTTCTTTGCATCTTGTGCATAGACAAACTATTCACAATCAGACAAGAACATGTGTTAATAAGGGAAACAGCAACAATTTAGTCTCTTTCCAGAGCTCTAAATGTGTTTATTATTTGCAGGGTTTGAACCTACAACCTTTTATTGCTAGCTTAGAACTTTAACCACTTGGCAACACCCACTTTTTCTAAAGTGTTTCTTGTTGTGGAAACATTAGTCACCAGAATAAATAAATAAATATTCAAAAACCTCCAATTTACTGGGATTGGTGTAAGACTTGAACACAAATCTGTTTTCTGTTTTTAATTAATCCCTATTTTACAGGCACATGTAACAGGGTTATCACATTTCTTGCTAATTTCTACTTAAGAAATGTTTTAATGAAACGGTTCACAGTTTTTGTTGGTTCTTTTTGATGTGCTAATTATTCGCAAGAGTGAATGAAATCAGAAAGAGTAAGTGAATGCATGTAGCTTGTGTGTGTTTTCTGTTTTTAATTAACAGTAAAGTTAGAGGTAGAAGCTTTCATTTTAATGGACTAGAGCAGCATTGTTTCAGTCATTTCATTTGTGTCCTCGGCAGATGCTTCCCTCACACAAAATTGCAAGATTTATTGAGTTTTTAATGACTAAATCAACAAGAAACTGAGGTTATTATCAAACAAACCAACAGAAATAACACAACCACATTAAAAACATTATTTTTTTTAATTTTCTTTAAACAAGATTATGAGGAGTATTTGATTCTGCAAAACTCTGAAACAATGTTAAGATGGTGTGGGTGTTTGCTATGCCATTGTTAGAGCGTTCTGGGTGCTTGCCCAAGTCAAAAGAGCCCATCCAAAAAAAAAATGTAAGTAAATAAATAAAATATTCGCCAGTTTGGTGTCAATAAGATTTTCTTTTTCAAAGAAATTGATATTTTTATTCAGTAAGGAATGCATTAAATAGATTAAAAGTGACAGTAAAGACTTTTATAATGGTACAAAATAATTATTTTTCATGTAAATGCTGTTCTTTTGAACTCTCCATTAATCAAATAATAAAATAAGAAATGTTTCTTATGCATCAAATCAGCATATTAGAATGATTTCTGAAGGATCATGTGACACTGAAGACTGGAGTAATGATGCTGAAAATTCAGCTTTGATCACAGGAATAAATTACTTTTTTTTTTAAATATTCAAATAGTTATACTTTCATTCAATCATTCATTCATTCTCAGATTGTTAAATTATTGATAACATGTCTGTTATTCCTGGTGAGCATGAGAGACTTCTCCCAAAAACATTAATAAAATCTTACCAGCCCCAAACTTTTTGAATGGTAGTGTTTGTCTCAGATGCTCTTTCAAAGTAAGATAACTGCCTATTTTATCATCCAGCAGCCAAAATTTGCAACTTTGGATGGAAACATAGCTACTGTCTGATGCCCAAAAGTGGCAAGGTGGGTTGCACACCTAAGCTAAAACTTAGAAGGAAAGTTTATCCAAAAATGAAATTTCTGTTTTACTCACCCTCATGTCATTCCAAACCTGAATGACTAACTTTCTACTGTGGAACACAAAAGAATAAACATTGGGCCCCATTGACTTTCGCTGTAAATACTATGACATTTTTTAAAATATCTTCTTTTGTGTTCCACAGTCAAAAGTTTGGAACGACGAGTTTTCATTTTTTGGTGAACTATCCCTTTGAGGTTAGAGGTTGCAGAAATCCATACATTTAAGTATAAGCAATATTAAGTACCATTTATAATTTAACAGCTATGTGCTTTAAAGTGCCCCTATTATGCCATTTCCAATATTACCTTTCATGCAGTATGTAATGTAGCTGTATGTGAATGTAAACGATCAGCAAAGTCATAAAGCCGAAAGTGCACGATAAATAAAGTTATTGTCTCCCAAAATAAAGAATCGACTCTCTACAGCCTAAACGAGTCGTTAGTAATTCGAATCCCACTCCCGTGACGGCTACATGTCACGGGGTAACACATTTGCATAATTCCTGCCTATGTTCTATGTTGGCCGGCAGCGAACAACTTGACCCCGCCCACAAACACGTCATTTTACTGACAATTGCTTCTCTAATCTCGGGGAGTTCGGGATTCACTAAACGCTCTTGAAAGATGGCTCAGTACCGTTTATTTGGACCAGCTGGCTCCACTGAATCACAAGTATGATAAATAATAGATGTTTATATTTTCTATCGCGCATTCAAAATACGGAACTATGGCAATAGGCATATCGTTTCCGACGTGCTGTACGCGGTAGACCAATCACAACAGACTGGGCCATCTGACCAATCAGAGCAGAGCAGGCTCACGGAAAGAAATAACACAACCACATTAAAAACATTATTTTTTTTAATTTTCTTTAAACAAGATTATGAGGAGTATTTGATTCTGCAAAACTCTGAAACAATGTTAAGATGGTGTGGGTGTTTGCTATGCCATTGTTAGAGCGTTCTGGGTGCTTGCCCAAGTCAAAAGAGCCCATCCAAAAAAAAAATGTAAGTAAATAAATAAAATATTCGCCAGTTTGGTGTCAATAAGATTTTCTTTTTCAAAGAAATTGATATTTTTATTCAGTAAGGAATGCATTAAATAGATTAAAAGTGACAGTAAAGACTTTTATAATGGTACAAAATAATTATTTTTCATGTAAATGCTGTTCTTTTGAACTCTCCATTAATCAAATAATAAAATAAGAAATGTTTCTTATGCATCAAATCAGCATATTAGAATGATTTCTGAAGGATCATGTGACACTGAAGACTGGAGTAATGATGCTGAAAATTCAGCTTTGATCACAGGAATAAATTACTTTTTTTTTTAAATATTCAAATAGTTATACTTTCATTCAATCATTCATTCATTCTCAGATTGTTAAATTATTGATAACATGTCTGTTATTCCTGGTGAGCATGAGAGACTTCTCCCAAAAACATTAATAAAATCTTACCAGCCCCAAACTTTTTGAATGGTAGTGTTTGTCTCAGATGCTCTTTCAAAGTAAGATAACTGCCTATTTTATCATCCAGCAGCCAAAATTTGCAACTTTGGATGGAAACATAGCTACTGTCTGATGCCCAAAAGTGGCAAGGTGGGTTGCACACCTAAGCTAAAACTTAGAAGGAAAGTTTATCCAAAAATGAAATTTCTGTTTTACTCACCCTCATGTCATTCCAAACCTGAATGACTAACTTTCTACTGTGGAACACAAAAGAATAAACATTGGGCCCCATTGACTTTCGCTGTAAATACTATGACATTTTTTAAAATATCTTCTTTTGTGTTCCACAGTCAAAAGTTTGGAACGACGAGTTTTCATTTTTTGGTGAACTATCCCTTTGAGGTTAGAGGTTGCAGAAATCCATACATTTAAGTATAAGCAATATTAAGTACCATTTATAATTTAACAGCTATGTGCTTTAAAGTGCCCCTATTATGCCATTATTGCCTTTCATGCAGTATGTAATGTAGCTGTATGTGAATGTAAACGATCAGCAAAGTTGTAAAGCCGAAAGTGCACGATAAATAAAGTTATTGTCTCCCAAAATAAAGAATCGACTCTCTACAGCCTAAACGAGTCGTTAGTAATTCGAATCCCACTCCCGTGACGGCTACATGTCACGGGGTAACACATTTGCATAATTCCTGCCTATGTTCTATGTTGGCCGGCAGCGAACAACTTGACCCCGCCCACAAACACGTCATTTTACTGACAATTGCTTCTCTAATCTCGGGGAGTTCGGGATTCACTAAACGCTCTTGAAAGATGGCTCAGTACCGTTTATTTGGACCAGCTGGCTCCACTGAATCACAAGTATGATAAATAATAGATGTTTATATTTTCTATCGCGCATTCAAAATACGGAACTATGGCAATAGGCATATCGTTTCCGACGTGCTGTACGCGGTAGACCAATCACAACAGACTGGGCCATCTGACCAATCAGAGCAGAGCAGGCTCACGGAAAGGAGGGTTTTAGAGAGACTGAATCTTAGAACTGCTTTGAACGAATCGTTTGAGAATCGCTGGAAAACGAGGTGATATTAAATGCATATTTTGAGAAAACGAAAGCGTTTTTTGACCTTGCATGCATGTAATCCTATTGTAGGAGACTCCCAAAACAATATTAGGAACCTTAAAAATGGCATAATAGGGGCACTTTAAATCTGAATCTTAGAATGATTTTAGTGGGAACGTCTGATTAGAAGACTTGCATTTACTTACGTGTCAGTGGACTGTCTTTCTTTAAGCTGATTTTCAAGTAGTTCAATTTGTCCTAACAGTCTTGTCTCAGTCTCCTCTTTTTGGAGTTGAAAGTCTCTTAAGGCCTCTTGTAATGCAGCTTTGACTGCCTGCTCTTTCTCCTTCTCTGCCCTCTGCAGGGCCTCCACCCTCTCCTGCTCCAGTCTTCCTGACAGTAGTGTGTTTTCCGCCTGCAGGTCTCCGATAACAGTCGATAGCTCTCGCTCTTTCTCCTGGAAAGCCCTCTGCTCATACTCCTTTTCCCTCTGTAAGGCATCAAGCTGGTTCTGGTGATCGTGCTGGATCTTCTGGACTCGTTTCTCGCAGTCTTTCTCTGCGTCCTGCGATTTCTGCTTGAGTGCTGAAAACTCTTGGCGGAGCAGGGTGCTCTCTTCTTCGTGCCGATCCACGAGTTCAGAGATGCAGTGGTCCTTCTCCAACCTCATGAGCGCTCGGAGCTCGGCCAGGCCCACCTCGTACTCTTCATTCTTCTGCTGGAGCTGCTTGTTCAACATGTCGATTTGCGTCTGCAAGGTGGTTGTTTGGGTAGTAAGCTCCGCTTTCAACACCTCCTCTTGGGTGCTTTTGGCTTCCTCGTACTGGAGTCTCATGTCCTCCATTTCAGCCTCTTTAAGAGCCATCTCCACTTCCAGTTTGCAGCGGGCGTCCGCAAGTTCAGTAATGCGAGCCTCCAAGTCTTTCAAGCGTCCCTCGCGGTCCTTGAGTTCGGCAGAATGGGAATCCATGAGATCTCTTAGCTTCACCAGGTTCTCCTGGACAAGTTTGTCAAGTGCACTTTTTTTTTCCAATCTGAGAGATTCCAGCTCTGCTTCATGTTGTTGTTTCAACCATGTCTCCAGTTCCTGAAGGTGCACCTTCTCTGCCTTCTCCATGTCCTGTCTGATTTTCTGTTGGCTGTGCTCAATCTCAAAGTGCAGCTTCTCCAGCTGCCCAGCGACTTCGTCCTTGGACAGCAACGCAGCTTTCAGTTCTTCACTTTGCTTTAAGAGCTTCTGTTCAAGGTCCAGCAGAGTTTGCATGTGAAGATCCTGGAGTTCCTGCATAGAGCGTGCTCTCTCACTCTCCAGCTGGGATATTTCCTTCTCCTTGCGCTCCACGAGCCCCTCCAATTCCAGCATTGCTCTCTGGATGTCTCGAACAATCTTCTGATTGCCTTCCAGCTCTTCCAGCAGGGTTTGCATCTGCTTTTCATGATCGTCCTTCAAACTCTGGAGATTGGTTTGTTGTGTTTCTCTTAGCTCCTCCTCGTGACAGTATCTGACACTGTTGAGAGCGTTTCGGACCTCAATGGTCATTGTTTTCAGGGCGAATCCAAAGTCTCGTTGCTCCTTCAGAACCAGTCCTCGAAAGTGGTAAAGGTCTTCTTTAACTTTTCTTAAATTGTTCTGTGACTCTTCCGCAGCAGAGCGGTACCTGTCCGCTGACAACTTGAGTGCTGCAATCTTTGAATTTTCCTTCTCGAGCGTAGTAGTGTCCTTTATACGCTTGCTATCGATTGCATTAATGACGGAGGAATAAAGAGACTCCACCATCATCTCTGGGCTTGTGGGATCACTGATGGGATTAGGTGACATCAAGTTCTCCTCAATAACAAACTCATTAACTGCTGACATGAAATCCGACTCAGGACTTTCTGCCAATGAGTCCAAGTCCAAAGAGCCTTGCTGTAATACAGGATCCATATTGGGGTGCCCAATGGTTTCAAAGTCAAAGGTCTGGGCATCTATGCTGTCGGGTGATAGGTCCTCCAAGGGACCAGGAAGCGCCAGGGGTTGGCAGTCCGGTGCTTTTAAACTGAGAGTGGACAAAGTTTTGGTGGAGGTAGAGGTGATTTCAGTTGTGCTTTCAGATCTGGGTGTTAATGCGGTGGATCTTTGAGCACTCTGGCTAAAGGAAATCTATAAGACAATGCAACAAGTTAAAATCATATGGGAAACGACATTCCCAGAATAGTCCAATTATACTATATACATTTTAAAAGTTGCAATGTATCGGAAGTAGCGACAGATCTCGCATTCATCACTGCCATTTCAGGTTATGACATTTTAATTAAAAATGATGAGCACAAAAAGAAACATATGCTTGGATGAATCACATTAAGATCAACAAAATGCATTTAGAAAACAGACAGGGTGAAGACAGTTCTATTTCATGTCATCTTTACAGGTTTATAACATCCAATACTTCAGACAAGCAATAAAAATTAAATGACTGTGAACAAAGTACCTTTTGTTCATTTAGTAGGTGTGTGATAGTTTTTGACATCTCGTCCACACTCTGCGCAGCCTGAACCAGCTGATGGAGAACCTCAACATGCTGGTTAAGAGGCTCAAAGTCACACAGTGTGGGGACCCTGATGAAGAAAACAGGCAACAGATCATCATTTAGGAGTATTTAGCCATGATTGAAAGGGTAATGGCTCAAAGAAAAGCAGTTTTGCATTGTGAAGTAACGGTAGAAATGTGCATATTGTGACCGGGTATGAGGCATTTACCTGAGGTAAGGCTGAACCTCGGAAGGACAACAGGACTTGAGATACTGCAGGTCACTCAGGGAAATATCTGGAAGCTCAAAGTCAAACTTTCGAGGCTTTCGGGTCTAAACACAAAACAAACAAACAAACAAAAAAAATCATTAATGTTGAAATGTCCCCATAAAGTTCATGAAGGGATCCTGAAAGATAAAAACACTTGTTCAAAGACTCACGCAAAACGAAGAGGGTGGCCATGAGTCCAGTCCTCGAAACAACCGGTTTCTGAGGAACGATTTCCCTGAGACAAACAAAAGCAGTGTTTTCAAAGCAATATGACATTTAATGTGGACTCAGGTGTCCATGTTTGTTCCCAAAACTAAAAGAAGGCATACAAAATATGAAGAATAAACTTACTGAAGAGCTTCCCAAATGTTTCCCTTTTTACTTTTTCTGCCTCATAGAGGTTTTTCCCATCTTTGACAAGAGCACTGGCCCACTGGAAGAAAAAATAAATATATATTTTTTGAAACAATAATTAAATGTGCAAAAATGTATAAAAACAACATAGATATCATATTATTCACTCTCTCTGGTCAAATCACTTCTGGTCACACCCGCATCTCTATAAATTAATGTAGCTGATTCTTACTTGTCTGTAGTGTCCTATGAACATTCTGCGTCTGACCACCTCCACTACGGCGAGACAGTACATCTGTGGCACAGTGCTGAGCGCCTCCACCACCCGCACGCGCTCCAGCAGCTCCGTCAGCAGCCTCAGGAGAGCCTGCAGCTTCTCTCCATCCTGATCAGCGTGAAGCATCACATAGCAGCACCATCTGATGGAGGAAACACCACAGTGCAGTTAGGAAGCACTTACAATTCACTTCACTTCAAAGTATCGTAGCTCTACTGATTGAAAATAGTCCAAATCAAAGCCAAAACTAGTTCTAGCCAAACTAAAAACAGTTTATTTCGCATTGCCCATGAAGAATACAAATGCTGGTCTTACTTGAGTCGAACTTGAAGGTTGTTGGCGAGCTCCTGTTTGGCAGTGGTACATTTCTGCTTGATGTCTAGTAGCTTCCTGTGATTGGTTAGCATGATCATCAGCTGATTGGCATGACTCAGACACAGGTCAGGCAGCACCGAGGTGTCCTTCAGGTTTTCAGCCCTCTTCTGATTGGCAAGAAATCCCTAGTAGAAGGCAAAGGAGAACACATGAGGAAGAGTAGCTTTCTGAAAAACTTGCGTTTTGCATAATTTGTAATATATTCATTAGAAACGTGGCTAAAGTATATTGTTTTGTCGATCTGCCACAATGTAACACAGGTCAATAAAGAGGCTGTAATTAAAGGATGGGGTAGTGCCAACTATATAAGACGTCGCAGTAAACCCACAGCCCACAAAAAAGTATGTTTTGTAACCTACATTTGAAGAGGTTAACCAATCATATATATATATATCTTAATGTCACAGTAGCAAAAAACAAAGGTTGGAAAATTGGCATTAAAAACTTCAGGGAAAACATAAAATACACTAATGAGCAGAATATGTCCCCTTCAGGCTGTTTTATGCTGACTATAAAAAGGAGCATTGCTTACCTGAGCAAGTTCCTGCTGTTCATTGACCAACCGTTTACAGCTTGCTATCATTTGGTCGAGAGCATACAATCTGTCCTCAAGACCTTTGATGGCCTTCATGTTCTGATTATCCAATTTGGTAATCGTCTCGCGGCATTCAGTTAGAAAGGGTTGGATCATTCGTGGGTCGAGCTGGAAGCATAAAGAATGGCAGAAACAAATCAGAGTGTTTATGGACAGTAAAATAGTTCATTGGGAGTGTCCTGTGAATGTGAAGATGATGTAAACTACTGTTCAAAATGTGGGGGTTGGAAAGAAAATTGTAATGTTTTGGGAAAAAGTCTGCATGCTCATCAAGGCTGGATTTATATTATCAAAAATACAGTAATAAAATTAATATTATGAAATATTATGAAAATTTAAATTACTGTTTTCCATTTGAATATCAAATGTAATTTATTCCTGTGATGCAAAGCATTATCTTCAGTGTCACATGATCCTTCAGAAATCATTCTAATATGCTAATTTGCTGCTTATTATTGTTAGAAATACTGAAAATACTTATGTATTTGAAATATATTTTAACTATACATGTATTTATAATGTATTTACTGTTATTTTGATCAATTTATTTAATGCACATTTACTTAGTGTATTAATTTAAGTATTATTAAGTATTAATATCTTAAAAAAAAAAAACTATTGGCTTTTTGGCCTCCTCGTACTGGAGTCTCATGTCCTCCATTTCAGCCTCTTTAAGAGCCATCTCCACTTCCAGTTTGCAGCGGGCGTCCGCAAGTTCAGTAATGCGAGCCTCCAAGTCTTTCAAGCGTCCCTCGCGGTCCTTGAGTTCGGCAGAATGGGAATCCATGAGATCTCTTAGCTTCACCAGGTTCTCCTGGACAAGTTTGTCAAGTGCACTTTTTTTTTCCAATCTGAGAGATTCCAGCTCTGCTTCATGTTGTTGTTTCAACCATGTCTCCAGTTCCTGAAGGTGCACCTTCTCTGCCTTCTCCATCTCCTGTCTGATTTTCTGTTGGCCGTGCTCGATCTCAAAGTGAAGGTTCTCCAGCTGCCCAGCGAGTTCGTCCTTGGACAGCAATGTAGCTTTCAGTTCTTCACTTTGCTTCAAGATCTTCTCCTCAAGGTCCTGCACAGTTTGCTTGTGAAGATCTTGAAGTTCTTGCATAGAGCGTTCCCTCTCACTCTCCAGCTGGGATATTTCCTTCTCCTTGCGCTCCACGAGCCCCTCCAATTCCAGCATTGCTCTCTGGATGTCTCGAACAATCTTCTGATTGCCTTCCAGCTCTTCCAGCAGGGTTTGCATCTGCTTTTCATGATCGTCCTTCAAACTCTGGAGATTGGTTTGTTGTGTTTCTCTTAGCTCCTCCTCGTGACAGTATCTGACACTGTTGAGAGTGTTTCGGACCTCAATGGTCATTGTTTTCAGGGCGAATCCAAAGTCTCTTTGCTCTTTCAGAACAAGACCTCGAAAGTGATAAAGGTCTTCTTTAACTTTCCTCAAATTGTTCTGGGACTCTTCCGCAGCAGAACGGTACCTGTCTGCTGACAGCTTGAGTACTGCAATCTTTGAATTTTCCTTCTCAAGTGTAGTAGTGTCCTGTATACGCTTGCTATCGATTGCATTAATGACGGAGGAATAAAGAGACTCCACCATCATCTCTGGGCTTGTGGGATCACTGATGGGATTAGGTGACATCAAGTTCTCCTCAATAACAAACTCATTAACTGCTGACATGAAATCCGACTCAGGACTTTCTGCCAATGAGTCCAAGTCCAAAGAGCCTTGCTGTAATACAGGATCCATATTGGGGTGCCCAATGGTTTCAAAGTCAAAGGTCTGGGCATCTATGCTGTCGGGTGATAGGTCCTCCAAGGGACCAGGAAGCGCCAGGGGTTGGCAGTCCGGTGCTTTTAAACTGAGAGTGGACAAAGTTTTGGTGGAGGTAGAGGTGATTTCAGTTGTGCTTTCAGATCTGGGTGTTAATGCGGTGGATCTTTGAGCACTCTGGCTAAAGGAAATCTATAAGACAATGCAACAAGTTAAAATCATATGGGAAACGACATTCCCAGAATAGTCCAATTATACTATATACATTTTAAAAGTTGCAATGTATCGGAAGTAGCGACAGATCTCGCATTCATCACTGCCATTTCAGGTTATGACATTTTAATTAAAAATGATGAGCACAAAAAGAAACATATGCTTGGATGAATCACATTAAGATCAACAAAATGCATTTAGAAAACAGACAGGGTGAAGACAGTTCTATTTCATGTCATCTTTACAGGTTTATAACATCCAATACTTCAGACAAGCAATAAAAATTAAATGACTGTGAACAAAGTACCTTTTGTTCATTTAGTAGGTGTGTGATAGTTTTTGACATCTCGTCCACACTCTGCGCAGCCTGAACCAGCTGATGGAGAACCTCAACATGCTGGTTAAGAGGCTCAAAGTCACACAGTGTGGGGACCCTGATGAAGAAAACAGGCAACAGATCATCATTTAGGAGTATTTAGCCATGATTGAAAGGGTAATGGCTCAAAGAAAAGCAGTTTTGCATTGTGAAGTAACGGTAGAAATGTGCATATTGTGACCGGGTATGAGGCATTTACCTGAGGTAAGGCTGAACCTCGGAAGGACAACAGGACTTGAGATACTGCAGGTCACTCAGGGAAATATCTGGAAGCTCAAAGTCAAACTTTCGAGGCTTTCGGGTCTAAACACAAAACAAACAAACAAACAAAAAAAATCATTAATGTTGAAATGTCCCCATAAAGTTCATGAAGGGATCCTGAAAGATAAAAACACTTGTTCAAAGACTCACGCAAAACGAAGAGGGTGGCCATGAGTCCAGTCCTCGAAACAACCGGTTTCTGAGGAACGATTTCCCTGAGACAAACAAAAGCAGTGTTTTCAAAGCAATATGACATTTAATGTGGACTCAGGTGTCCATGTTTGTTCCCAAAACTAAAAGAAGGCATACAAAATATGAAGAATAAACTTACTGAAGAGCTTCCCAAATGTTTCCCTTTTTACTTTTTCTGCCTCATAGAGGTTTTTCCCATCTTTGACAAGAGCACTGGCCCACTGGAAGAAAAAATAAATATATATTTTTTGAAACAATAATTAAATGTGCAAAAATGTATAAAAACAACATAGATATCATATTATTCACTCTCTCTGGTCAAATCACTTCTGGTCACACCCGCATCTCTATAAATTAATGTAGCTGATTCTTACTTGTCTGTAGTGTCCTATGAACATTCTGCGTCTGACCACCTCCACTACGGCGAGACAGTACATCTGTGGCACAGTGCTGAGCGCCTCCACCACCCGCACGCGCTCCAGCAGCTCCGTCAGCAGCCTCAGGAGAGCCTGCAGCTTCTCTCCATCCTGATCAGCGTGAAGCATCACATAGCAGCACCATCTGATGGAGGAAACACCACAGTGCAGTTAGGAAGCACTTACAATTCACTTCACTTCAAAGTATCGTAGCTCTACTGATTGAAAATAGTCCAAATCAAAGCCAAAACTAGTTCTAGCCAAACTAAAAACAGTTTATTTCGCATTGCCCATGAAGAATACAAATGCTGGTCTTACTTGAGTCGAACTTGAAGGTTGTTGGCGAGCTCCTGTTTGGCAGTGGTACATTTCTGCTTGATGTCTAGTAGCTTCCTGTGATTGGTTAGCATGATCATCAGCTGATTGGCATGACTCAGACACAGGTCAGGCAGCACCGAGGTGTCCTTCAGGTTTTCAGCCCTCTTCTGATTGGCAAGAAATCCCTAGTAGAAGGCAAAGGAGAACACATGAGGAAGAGTAGCTTTCTGAAAAACTTGCGTTTTGCATAATTTGTAATATATTCATTAGAAACGTGGCTAAAGTATATTGTTTTGTCGATCTGCCACAATGTAACACAGGTCAATAAAGAGGCTGTAATTAAAGGATGGGGTAGTGCCAACTATATAAGACGTCGCAGTAAACCCACAGCCCACAAAAAAGTATGTTTTGTAACCTACATTTGAAGAGGTTAACCAATCATATATATATATATCTTAATGTCACAGTAGCAAAAAACAAAGGTTGGAAAATTGGCATTAAAAACTTCAGGGAAAACATAAAATACACTAATGAGCAGAATATGTCCCCTTCAGGCTGTTTTATGCTGACTATAAAAAGGAGCATTGCTTACCTGAGCAAGTTCCTGCTGTTCATTGACCAACCGTTTACAGCTTGCTATCATTTGGTCGAGAGCATACAATCTGTCCTCAAGACCTTTGATGGCCTTCATGTTCTGATTATCCAATTTGGTAATCGTCTCGCGGCATTCAGTTAGAAAGGGTTGGATCATTCGTGGGTCGAGCTGGAAGCATAAAGAATGGCAGAAACAAATCAGAGTGTTTATGGACAGTAAAATAGTTCATTGGGAGTGTCCTGTGAATGTGAAGATGATGTAAACTACTGTTCAAAATGTGGGGGTTGGAAAGAAAATTGTAATGTTTTGGGAAAAAGTCTGCATGCTCATCAAGGCTGGATTTATATTAACAAAAATACAGTAATAAAATTAATATTATGAAATATTATGAAAATTTAAATTACTGTTTTCCATTTGAATATCAAATGTAATTTATTCCTGTGATGCAAAGCATTATCTTCAGTGTCACATGATCCTTCAGAAATCATTCTAATATGCTAATTTGCTGCTTATTATTGTTAGAAATACTGAAAATACTTATGTATTTGAAATATATTTTAACTATACATGTATTTATAATGTATTTACTGTTATTTTGATCAATTTATTTAATGCACATTTACTTAGTGTATTAATTTAAGTATTATTAAGTATTAATATCTTAAAAAAAAAAAACTATTGGCTTTTTGGCCTCCTCGTACTGGAGTCTCATGTCCTCCATTTCGGCCTCTTTAAGAGCCATCTCCACTTCCAGTTTGCAGCGGGCGTCCTCAAGTTCAGTAATGCGAGCCTCCAAGTCTTTCAAGCGTCCCTCGCGTTCGGCAGAATGGGAATCCATGAGATCTCTTAGCTTCACCAGGTTCTCCTGGACAATTTTGTCAAGTGCACTTTCTTTTTCCAATCTGAGAGATTCCAGCTCTGCTTCATGTTGTTGTTTCAACCGTGTCTCCAGTTCCTTTTATAACTAGTCTTTTATAACTAAACTACAAACTTTTAAACGCTAGTGTATGTGATGTCTATGTGATGTATAACTGGATGTTTCAGCAACAGTATATGGTTATTTTTCATATTTTTGAAATGAAACAAAACATGGTTTATATTTTAATACCCATTAGGTAATGCTTATATTTGGATATTGCAGTGAATTAAATAGGTTAACCATATTTATTTTTTTTACTTTCTATTAGGAACTTGATGGAGGCAAACCATAAGAAGATTATTCATAACAAATGAATGATAAGTCTGACTTGAGCCCAAAAACAGTGTCACATTACATAATGCTTGAGCTGGGGAGGGAAAAATTCTTACAACTCTAAACCTGTTTGGATATTTGAGGACATTGTAAAATATGACATCACATCAGTTGAATCCTATATTTTTCTTATAGTATGTTATTATGTTATAGTTGAGATGTTGCTCCTCACACAACTCAATTCTGCGTCACATTACACTCTTGAGGTTTTTTTTTACGTCTTACTGATGTAATTACTCTATGTTTCGTTGTTGTATAAGCAACTTAAAGCATTCCTGCTCACTAATAGCTGTGTAAATACATGCAATTTGATATAAATAGTATAGCAAAATCTCTACTGGGTGACACACCTCTACAGTCACATGGTACATATCATCATAATGCCCATTACTGGCTAGTTTAAAACAATATAAAGGTTGCCACAGGTTTACAGACTGATTCATGATTTGACCAAAACATTCCCTCACAATATGACTCACCCTGTTGATTGAGTCAAAACACTTCCTCACTACTGACTCTACATCGTTAGGTCTGTCCTGAACGTTGATCCAATCCAACAGCGTGACATTAAAAGAAGGTGTGGCTCCCCTCTCTGGAGACTCCTCCTCTTCCTCTAGAGCTGCTTTTAGACTACAGCTGCTCTTCAGTCTGTCCTGAGGAGAGGAGGATGCCTGGGACGACGCTTCTCCTGAAGCAGAGACCGGCGAGAATGACTTTCGATTCTTCTGGCTGTCAGCGGGACAGAGGATTGCGGACTGGGTGGATGTTTCTCCTACTTCTTCATCCTCATTCTCGTCTTCTTCATCTGTGGTTCTTGGGTGAGGGGAGCTGGACTTCTCCAGGCTTTCTCGGTAGCTCTGCCGAGTCAAACACTCTAGCAGAGGAATCTTCGCCATGACTGAGACAGCAGTGCCAAGCCTGATGAATTAACATTAGAATTAGTGATCTATTTATTCCTCTATATATCTATATTGATCTATTTAATCTATATATTAAAGTCCAATACACCGCCATTCAAAAGTTTAGGGTCAGATTATTCATTTATTATTCAGCAAAGACACATTAAATTGATCAAATGTGTCAGTAAAGACATTTATAAAGTTACAAAAGACTTCTTTTTCCAAATAAATGCTGTTCTTTTTAACTTTTCTATGAAAGAAATAAATAAATCTACCACGGTTTCCACAAAAATATTAAGCAGTATTTAATCATTTTTAACATAATAATAAGAAATGTTTCTTGAGCAGCAAATCAGCATATTAGAATGATTTCTGAAGGATCATGTGACAGAGTGACTCCTCCACCTTCAGCTCCATCTCATTCTCTATTGAGAAGGTCGTTTTGGGGATGGTTGGAGCTCGGTCAGACAGGATCATCTCTTTGTTGAATAAGAAGATCGGGTTGGTGTCCTGAAGCAGCCAGAGACAAAAATCAATTGCCATTTGGAAACCATGCTACTCAAGATTCTCAATATTTCAGGGTCATTTTAAATCGACTGAAAGCTATTAAAATAATACAATTATTATATGCAGTGCTTTTATGGTGCTTCTTTGCAATTTTCATATCAAACATTTTAACAGTGTACTTTGTGGCAATGATCAAGCATTTGACTAAATAATTCATATATAATAACTACTCTTACTCTCTAAAAATGTTGAAAATCAAAAATGCTGTTTCGGGGTGATTTTGCTTGTTACTCACTGTTCCGGCGCTGTAGCTGCACACGCGCCTCTCTGCCACCATACACTCCCCTCCATTGACCACCAGCACCTGGTGCTGGATTGCAATTTTATATTTGGCCTGAATGGCATGTTTAAGGTCCAAAACACTATAAAAAGCATGAAGCACAACACATTTTAGTTACCCAGTAAAACAAATCAGGACTCAATTTACAAACAAATCTGCAAACAAACAGAATATAGAAACGATTGATCGAATTTGGACTTTAATAATTTACATTTGCAACTTAACCATCATAGCATTAAACAGGTATTTACACTGGAATTATATAATTAATAAATTAGAATGTTGCATCTCTAAGTACCATCTACATTATATATTACATATTATATTATCCAATATAATGGGGTTTCTCATGAATATGTAAATATGTATTTGTGTAAATGCATGTGTATATATGTAAACTCAGACAAATTTAAAGTCAAATTCATTTATCTAATTTCAGGATGTTTGAAGACAAAAATAAACATTACTGTAAGTGTTCATATTATTTAATGCAATAGGTAACAAATCATGAACAATAGCATTAAACAGGTATTTACACTGGAATTATATAATTAATCAATTAGAATGTTGCATCTCTAAGTATCATCTACATTATATATTACATATTATATTATCCAATATAATGGGGTTTCTCATGAATATGTAAATATGTATGTGTGTAAATGCATGTGTATATATGTAAACTCAGACAAATTTAAAGTCAAATTCATTTATCTAATTTCAGGATGTTTGAAGACAAAAATAAACATTACTGTAAGTGTTCATATTATTTAATGCAATAGGTAACAAATCATGAACAGTACTTTCCCAGCATTTAGCCATCTTTGTTAATGTCGATCGATTTCTATAAATTCTAATACTAATACTTATAACTAGAGCCTGACCGATATATCGTTTAGCCGATATTATCGGCCGATATGAGCCTGTCGCCGATATATCGGTATTGGCGAATATGCCGCCGATATTACATTTTTTTTTACAGAACATATAACGCAGATAAAATGCTTGAAATGGTGTAATTACTTAGTTTGTCCAGCAGAGCGTGCTCCATTGTTTGCTACTGGCGACCTGGATGAAATGCTTTAAAGCTTAAGTCTATGGAAAACCATTGAAACTTTGAACGGCCATATCTCCGTAAAGGCGTGGTGAATCCGCACCAAATGCGGGGGATCCCTTCAGCTCAAGGAACCCTCTCGAACGCGAATCGAGTGTACGTCTCGAGGCCCTCTTTCGAATGAGACCACCCCTGCGTCGATAGCCCCCGGGGTTCGGAAGTTACGGGTGGTTAAATCCGTGGTCCGGCGCAGACCGATCTAGCGATACCGGTGGACTACCGACACGCGGAGGGTGGCGTTCGAGAGGGCTCCTCGAGCTGAAGGGATCCCCCGAATTTGGTGGAGATCCGCCGGCACGTTCGCGAGATAGTGACACCAGTCAACACTT